CACTCAATGGCCTCCTCCACGTTGGTAATGGTGCCCAGGCCGATCTCCGCATTCAGATTATCGGCCAGACATTGCACAAAGTTCGACTCGATGGGGAATTGATTCGTTAGCAGCGACAGGTAATGATTGAGCTTGTCATAGGCGGTGATAATGGTGCCCACACCGCTCTTGTCGAACTGCGGGCGTCCAGCTCGACCAAAGATCTGCAGCACATCCAGAATGCCCAGGTCCACGAAGCTGCCGTGCTTGGCATCGTAGATGTCTGTGCCCCGTATGATAACCGCGTGCGCCGGCAAATTGACGCCCCACGCCAGAGTGGCAGTGCAGACGAGTACCGAGATGTGGCCCTCGACGAAGTATTTCTCGACCATTTGGCGGTCGGCTCGCAGCATGCCCGCATGATGCATGGCCAGGCCGCAGGAGAATAAGTCCACCAGCTGCTTGTTGCGGCTCTTCTGGACCGAGCGATTGGCCAGGCCAAACGCATTCGAGTCCTTGGGCAGGAAGGCAGCGCTGGTGTTGTTTTGTTGGGCCAGCTCGCGAATAACATTCGCCGTTCGCACGGTGGCATTGCGGGCGTGGACAAAGACCATCACCTGGTGTCCCTGCTGGACCATCTCCACACATTTCTGGTAGCAGCACTGGTCCATGTCGGCGATTTGTTGCAGCGGCTTCACCGACTTGATGCCAATGAAGTTGGTGTCCAGCGGCACAGGTCTGAAGCGGGAGTCGAAGTAGAAGAGTCCCTTCATGGGGTTCACGCGTAGAAAATGCGCCACATCCACGTAGTTGGGCAGCGTGGCGGACAGGCCAACGATGCGTATCATCGACTGGGAGGACTCCACGAGGCGCAGAGTTCGCGCAACGAGTGCCTCCACCACAGGCCCCCGCTCGCCGTGCAGCAGATGCACTTCGTCGATGATGAGCAGCTTGACCAGGCTGATCAAGGCCACATCGCCGCTACCTGCAATGGGATTCCATGAGCAAACGGCTCTTGTGATTAGAAAGTTAATGCTTACCCTTTCTGGTGACCACATCCCACTTCTCTGGCGTGGTCACCAATATCTGGGTGGCTGCCATTTCCGCCTTGGTCAGCTGCATGTCGCCCGTCAGCTCGCGCACCACTATTTGCAAGGACTTCAGCCGCTTGGAGAAGTTCTCAACCATTTCGGCGGCCAGCGCTTTCATTGGGGCTATATAGACGATCTTAAACTCGTCCCGATTGATCACACCCTGCTCCAAATGGCAGCGAATCGTGTGCACAATGCTCAGCATGGCCACGTTGGTCTTGCCGGCACCAGTGGGGGCGCACACCAGCATATTCTCGTTGCTGTGATAGGCCACCGGATAGACCACGGACTGGATGCGGTTCAGCTCCTTGCAGTTGGCAAAGGCCAGCCTTCCGACATCGTCCAGTTCGTCGATTTGGATGCGCTTGTTTCCCACTGTGAGCGGCGGAGGTTCGCTGGCTGGGATCTTGACCTCCTCCCACTGTTTATTGTCGATGCGCTGGGCGTTGTCTGGCAGGGTTATGCGGCTGCCGCCGATAAAGCCAGCGTGCTGTTTCGCCGCCAACTGGCTGTCGAAGACATAGGGATAACGGATGGGGGGCGCCTGGTAGTCCGCCTTAACGGCCTTGGTCGTCAGCAGGAGCGGCTCTCGCTGGGCATTTTCCAGCAGCATTCGCTGGTGCTGCACACGTAGTTGCATGGCGGGAATGGACACGGCACAGCCGGGGTCGTCTTGGTCCTCGTCATCCTTGATGTTGCGCATTATGCGCTGCAGTTTCTTCTCCTCCCGTCGCTGTATTTTTCCAAGCTGTTTCTCCTGTGCGGACTGAACCACCACGGCACTGGCTACAGTGGGTCGTATTTCAGGTCCTCCTCCTCCAGTGGCTGCTGTCTGGAGACGTTTTTGCTTGACCTCCTTGACGCGACGCGTTCTCGTGGCAAACTGTTCCAAATGCTGTCCAATCTTGGCTCTGTCCTGCAGCAGTTTTCCCACCAGCTCGAAGTAGTCAAAGCCCAGCAGTTCCATTAGCTCGTTCTGCAGCTCCTCGCTGCTGCGCTTCGAGCCTAGTATGTCCCCCACGCGTCCCAGCAGATTTTCATCCTCCAGCTTCTCGGCTATGTCCACCAATGACTGCAGCTCTGGACTCAGCTTGGCTCCGTCCGTGCGCTTAATCACTGGCGCTGGTGCGGCCTTCGATTTGTACTTCATGGAGAACTTGTTGACGGTGCGATTCTTCAGCAGAGCATCGGGTGCCAGATTGGTCAACAGGCTGGTGTCCAGCCACACGGCTGGCGTGCATTTAACGTCAATCTCTTCGCCCCAGAGCCGTGCCACATTGTGCGGCTTTCGTTGGGCCTGCTGCCAGCGTTTGAGTTCCATGCGCTCGTGCTCCTCCAGCGAGTGTTCCACAGCCAGGACACATTCGTGAATTTGCGTCATCTTCCGATCGAAGGTCTTGCCAAACATCCCGTGCAACCGATTGGTGGTGGCCACCAGCACTACTCGCTGCTCGTGCAGCAGCCAGAACAGAAAGAGAGCCGCATGCTCTACCACCTGTGGCTGTTCCTCGTAGCCCATACATTCCTGGACCAGATTGCGCAGCTTCTGCATGTGCACCTTGGCGGCGGGCTGTTTCTCGGAAGGCAGCTGTGCCAGCAGCTTGCCTATGGTCTGCTCCTCCTTCCTGTGCAGGCATTGCCATTATCAGTGATATTTCATTAGTGGCGAAATCTCTTGACTTACTCATACGAATTTGTCGTCGTGGATGATGCGTTGGCGGTCCTGGCTTGCCGCTGGCCATTGAAGCGGCGGCTCTTGGCCTCCAACTCGGTTTTGGCACGTAGCGATGCACTTAGTCGAGGCGGCTCCCACATTCTCGTTTGTCCTATGTAAATCCTGCAGAAATTTCATATTTTTTTAAATTCCTCGATCTTGATATTCCGTCGAATATTACTAGCTGTATGGAACATTTAGCCATGCCCACATAATTTTATCCGATTAGTGAATCTATTTTCTAATTGACTGGCTTATCTTAAATACTTGCTTTATTGGATTTCTATACGTTGAAAATAAAATTGGATTGTGCAAAAAAACAAAACAAGAGAACAGCTGATAAAATATACCGTCTGACCCTCAAAATATACCAAAATATACCGTAAATATACTGACGAATTCAAATTCTATTTTACATATTCCTCGTTTTTGATATTCCGTCGAATATTACTAGCTATATAGAGCATTTAGTCATGCCCACATAATTTTATACGATTGATTAATCTTTTTTCTACTTAACTGACTTTTTTAAATCTTGCTTTTATTGGATTTCTAAACGTTGAAGATAAAATTGGATTGTGCAAAAAAAAACAAAACAAGAGAACAGCTGATAAAATATACCGTCTGACCCCTCAAAATATACCGTAAATATACTGACGAATTCCAGTTATAAATATCGATGCTGTTCTTGATTATAAAATTTATATCGATGCTGTTATTGATTATAAAATTGATATCGATGCTGTTATCGATGTTGTTATTGCCGGGGCTGCCACGTCGATGAATAAAGGGTGGTTTATCGTAAAAGATACGTTAACAGGTTAAAGGAATTTAAAAATCAGTTTGAAAATTTATACACCAATTTTTACATGCGATCCATTTAAGGCAGCTGTTATTGAAAAAGTCATGTTATGCGCTTAAACGAATTAAAAATCAAGCTAGAAATTTAAATTTGCATTTGAAATTTGTACACATTTAAGTGAATAATTACATATTTTTTAGAAATTTCCAATTGGCTAATGTCTCAAATGTTTCCATTCTCCATTGTCGATGTTTTCCAGGAATTTTCTTAAGAAAATTAATGCCTTTCGTATGCACAACTTGTCACAGGCAAAACTTTTCAAACCTGATGTTGGTTCCACCACCCCCACATCCTCTCAACCCACCCCAAAAGATAAACTTCCTATAAACTTGTTGCGCAAGCTGCAATTGTCTTCTGCTCTGAGACCCTTGCTTGTATTTATTATGCAGCTCATGTTCACATACTTGGATGAATCCTGTCCGCAACATGCTTCATTGACCACTTTCAAAATGTACATGCCATCCCATTTGGGGGTGTGATGGATATGAATATGGTTATGGATAGGGCTATCCTGGGCGGTATATAAGCCCGGCAACCAGTTGCTCCATCCTTTCAGTTGCGCTTTCTCTGGGACTCGACACAGGCCACAAGACAATTGCAGCTCCTATGAGCGCCATCACCTGTTGAGCAGCATTTCCACGACGACCACAAGACAAGGATGCATTGGCTAGCACATTTTCAGATCATTTTGCTATGTGAGTAGATGGCCAAGGATATATGCAGTTTGAGTTCTACTTTCCTTCCGCAGGCATATGGTTAATGTCCTGCAGCTCAAATGCCATGCCATGCGACTCCTGTGGCAAAGAGTGTGCCAACGCCTGCGGCACTAAGCATTTTCGGTAGGTTTTTGTTTTCTTTTTTTGGAAATATACTTCACTTCACTTCTTCATTAGAACCTGCTGCTTTAACTATCTACGCAAACGCAATGATCCGGATGAGCTGCGTCGCAGCTCCGATCGGAGACTGATTGACTTCATATTGCTGCAGGGCAGGGCCCTGTACACCCAGGAGCTGCGCGAGAGACACCACAATGGCACCCTGATAGACGGCACCCTCGGCCTACAGACCTACTATAACTGAAGACCCCCCCTCACACTGACAATGATACGGATACCCCCCTGATACTGACTCCTCCACGATTCACATGACGATCCACGGCTGAATGCTTGAAATGTTTGAGATGTTAATTTTCCAATAAAGGCGCAAACTTCTTTGGGGCAATATGCTTTATAAAGCATTCTACTAACTCTACTAAACCCAAGTATTCCATTTATTCATTAGGAACTCCGATTAGACTTTGATTTTGTATCAATTGCAGTTTGTATATTTTATCATATTCTATTTTTTTTTTACATTTTTTCATTGCCAACTTTTTTTGTGTGTTTTTGTTTGTTCCTTGGGCTATATGCAAGATAGTCTAAGTCTGAGCCGTGTTTGTAGTACTCTAAAGCTGTCAGTTCCTGTCTGCTGCAGTCGTCGTCTCCTCTTTAATGGGTTTATGCCTGGGATTCGCTGATCTCCGTCGTGGCCTGAGTCCTGGAGTCAGAGGGCAGCTCGTCCTTGCCACAGGCCAAGCACGGTATCTTCTCCTTGAGCACCTGCTTGTACTTGGGGTGGCTGGAAAAAAGACACAAAGATGCCATAATGGACTTCATTTGGGGCAAGATCGACCCACCTCAAGCCGTAGACAATGGGATTGCATACGGCATTGGCTTTGGCAAATACGGATCCGCAAATGGTGCTGAGCGGACTCAGGTGCATGGACTCGAAGATGCCCGCATAGTTGATGATGGTGTAGGGGGTCCAGGCGAAGAACCACAGCGAAATGGTGGTCAGAGCCACCTTGGCCAACTTGATTTCGATGGCCTTGCTCTTGTCGGCCTCGCTGTTGCGGAGCGAAGCCACGTTCATCTTCTTGGCCTGCTCCCTCATGGCCTTTTCATGGGCCGCCACCGCCTGCAAGCAAAGAGAAACACTTGTCGCAGTCTGTAGTCTCATCTGGAGCCGATCCTACCTTCATGATGTGCCAGTAGGAGAATATAATCGTCAGCAGTGGGGTGAGGTACACCCACAGCGAGTAGACAATGATGTAGGAGCGATTCCACCAGTCCTTGGCAAAGTAGTCAGTGCCGCAGGCAGTCATATTGCCCTCGGGCACATACCTGTTCCACCCAAACATCGGCATCAGGGCCCACGCTCCGCAGATGGTCCACACGACCATGAGACGGATCACCGCTGATGTGGTCGTTAGAGGTTTCCTGGCCATGCCCTTGACAATCACACAGTAGCGGTCGTAGGCGATCAGCGTCATCGACCAGATGGAGACACAGCCGAAGAGGGATCCGAACAGGCCGTACAGCTCGCAAAGGAAGGGACCCATGATCCAGGTGCCGTAGAAACCGTTGAGCACCACCGGGGGGAACATCGTGAACATCATCATGAAGTCGGAGAAGGCGAGATTCACCACGAACATGTTGGAGGGCGTGCGCAGACCCTTCGACGAGGTGAAGATGTACATCACGATGAAGTTGCCCGCCAGGGACATGGTACCGAGGATGGCAATCACAAAGCCGATGATTCCGAACCACATGGGCTCGAGGGGGGGCCATTGGTACCAGTAGGGATCCACCATGTGCATGATCTCGGCGGGCACGCTCTCGGCCAGACTGAGATTGCGGCCATCCCGCATGTAAGCGTAGGTCGGCGGATTCAGGCTCAACATGACTCCGCTGGAAAGGCTTCCGGCTTCGGACTTCGGTGGTGGCTTCGTTTGAACTGTGGGTACTCTGCTGTGGCAACTATTTGCTGTCCATAGCAGAATGGCTGACTCTTCTTTGGCGCTGGACTCGGCGCGAATGCCTTGGGCGTAACCGCGGGCCCAGCCTTATATCGGCCACTTGAGTCCAGCCAATCTTAGCCTAATTGCCCTAATCCAATTAGGATGCACTTGGCCAATCCAAAAGCTTTTGGATTTCCACTTGGGCTTTCGATTGCTGCAAATTTGCCGCGTCGGATTAGGCGGTTGGTCGCGTCATTTCCCTGCTGTCTTAGCCGCAAGGCAAGGTCAAGTTTGAGGCAACCACCCACCGGCCAATTAGATTAAGACAAAACGCTTCCCTGATTCGATAAGTTCACGTTTTATTGACACACATCCACGGGCCTGCCACCTGCTCAGGCATGCCACTTGTAGCCCAGTTTGCGGGCTCCCCTCATCATCGTGTGCAGCTGGAACTTCAGGCTGCCGTAGGACTCCATGGAGAGCCCTAGAATAGAGACACAAATGACACACCCACTATCCGGAGAGCTATGTGTGAGGGCTTACCTTTGCACTTCATGCAGTTTAGCAGGACCTTGGGGTCCTTTAGTTCTGGCTCTCGACGCAGCAACCAACTGGTCACATCGGCTATCATGTTTGGGCACTTGGGCAGCAGGATGGAAGCTTCCCGCTCGCAGCTCTCGTCAGTGGCAGGACGACTACCGAACACTGGGAGATGTATGTGGGCATAGCCCAGCAGGACCTCCCGTCCCATGCCACTGCGGCCGAACACGCTCACCAGCAGCTGGGGCCCTGCAACACGTAATAATGTGAGTAAAATGCACGAAAAATCAGTGAAGATATGACTCCTTACAGCCAAAGGGACTTGTGCTCTTGTAGGTCACCTCGATGGGCATATTGAAGACAATCGGTTCGTTGAAGTGTCCATGCTTGTTCGTGGCCAGCTGCGTGAGTCCATGCTGCGGCCCAGAGACCAGTTGCCAGTCGGGCCCGGCCACCAGTTCGTAGCGCAGGAAGACGAACTCCTTGTCGGGGCCCAGTGGAAATGTGGCGGACACTATCTGACCCGTGATGCTGAGACTGAAGTAACTGGCAGTGGCCTTCGAGTCCATCGTCTCCTTGGCACATTTTAATTCTTTCTTTATTTTCTTTGGCTTTTGTTTGGGTTTTTCTTGTTTCGAGCCTGTGGACTGGTTGCCCAGGATACTGTTCCCTGCGCCGTAACCGCTCATTGTTGTTACCGACACGAACACGACACTCGCAAAGGGTGAGTTTTCCACTCCAAATGAATATATTTTCTTTATGACAGGTACCAGCTATCGTTGCATAGTGTTGGAAAGGGTTGGCAATACACAAAAGAGTGTTGGAAAGGGCGAAACAGCTTTAAATCTGAAAAATATATTTTCTAAATTGTATTTGGGTGTAAGAACTAATAAAATTACTATTTTAGTATCAGGGGAGTAATGCTAGAAAGCGCACCAACAAAGAGTGTTGCAAAACCACATTTATATCAATGTTACTGCAATTTCTGCTTACAGCCATAAATTATTGTATTGTTTATAGATAGTATATGGCTTGTTCGTATTTAATTATAGTTAAGATAGGTCTTAAATCGTAATTCTCGCTGATTTAATGATAGAAGCCGGAAAATGCATATCCATAAATCAATTTAATGACATTTTTAGAAAACGATGTGCCTGGGAAGAACATTCACTGGGCAAAGTAGTGGCTGGGCTTTGTCTTATAAATTTAGTTAATATATTGAGGAGACAAACTTATGACTTATGACTCGACTGATAAGCTCTAGGCATGTCGGGCCACGTCGACGCCATGGTAATTTAATACCTTCCACTGCATTACATGCACGTTACATGGACATGGCTTGTGGCTGATTTTCTTGCCCTGGTTCTGCTTTGCATATGTGGATACGACTCAGAGTGGAAGACTTATGTGCGAACGATTAATACGTGACAATTTACATGATATTTATACGTTTTCTGAGTCCGGACACTGGGACACTGGGGCACTGGGCGTGTGCTGGCTGTTCTCGCTGTCGTGGCAAAAGGTCAATTACGATGGACAATGGCCCACACTCCTACGACGAGTCTGTGGATTGTTGGGGGGTTCTTTAGCCGTTGCTGTAACTAATTTTGTAATGGCTATTAGGTAATTTATTGCTGTCAGTGCTGCATGTTTATAAATCATTATGACAATTGTCGGCGCTACCGAAACGGGAAGTAGCGCCTCCGATAACCAGCTTCGGCTGCCGCTGCCACTCCCTCCCGGCATTATGCAACAGCGAGGGCTGAGCTGGTCAACAGCACAGACATTCAGTGTTCAGTGTTCAGTATTTCCATATTACACACAGCCGTAATTAAAACGCGCCACAATAATGTCAATAGTTCAAGGCGACTCCAGCTGCCGGCGGCTGCCGTGGTGGTGGGAGGGGGGTAAACTCCTGTGTCTTCTCGAAGAACAGCACCACGCAAATGAGCTTGTCATGGCAGCTGTGTGTCTGTGCATGGATTCTGCGAAGGTGACTGGTGCAACAGCTGGCCCGAACCTGCACCAAGTGGCATGCCGCAATCGCTGCCTGCCGCCGATCGAGTGGCGTGTACTCGTATTCGTATGTTCTGTGGCATGTGCAGTTCTACGGAATGAGTCCATTTCCAGAGGCGTAAACAAAAGCTTAGGCTTAGCAGCAGCGGGCCATCAGTCGAAAGCCATAAGCCGCTCATGTCAGTTCGTTCTCTTTTGCAATTGGAGATCGGAGAGAGCTGCTGACGCGGCAGCCGTCGACTCGACATAATTTCGGATCAAGTTGTGCGGCAATATGCTAATTTGTCTGCATTTTGGACAGTTTTTCCACATCTAATACGCCCCTGGGGCATTGCACACAAGCAAATATCGCACATACTCGTATGTACATTCTGATGCATTCAATTACGTTTTCGGAATCAATGAGCCAACGAATTATTCAGAAAGATATATACATTTCATTCTTTTATTTTGTGATGTGCTCTTCGCGCTCCTCCCGTATCGAGTTAATGCCTTATATAAAACCGATTCATATCCATTGAATGATTTCAGCCAAAAGCTCGTACGATTTTCAATTGAAGTCTTTCCGTGGCAGTGCATTGCCCAGCGCCAGCAGGAGTGGGGTTGGTTGGGTTGGTTTCCACATTACAGAAATCCGAGAGGTATTCATGTCGACTGCTGCACATGGGCTATGGCATGGTATGGTATGGTATGGTATTTCTGGAACAGTTCAATGTCTTTGGTAAGGCCGGAACCATCTGCAGATGCCTAATGTCTTTCTCCAGCTTGCCGGAGAGTTCAAAGAGCACAAGTGATACGCGTTTATCTAGTTGAATTTTAGTCGATTTTTATGATCTTGCCTTTCAGCGGGCACTCATCTTTTACGATATAGCGGTACTTCCCATTGTACTTTCATATTCAAAAATGTTTTCAATTCCATCCAAAATTCAAGTACTTTCCATATGATACTCATAAATATTTGCAAGCATAGTGGATACAGTTTTTGCATGCTCGAACGTCTCAATCTCTATCTCAAGGAATAGACATACTCGTTCGAGTCTATATAGTCGCGCAGTCGTACGAGTATATACATATGTATGTCTGTATATAAATCTATATATAAACCACTATATTAGTTTATATTTTGCGCATTGCGTGGGCGTTGGTCTCAGGGTCAACGCACGTTGGCCATCTCCCGGTTCCCGGCTCCCAGCTCCATCCCATCCCCCATTTAGATCGCCATCTGTGCGGCTGCTGTCATAGTGACTGGCCAGGCTGCTTGGCTGCTCGGCAGCTCTATGCTGCTCTATGCTGTAGTTGAATGGATGATATATACCATACAGTTAAGTGAAATGTATCTTCGAGATACGCCACGGAACTATGGGAGTACAACAAACGCTTCTTACGCATGTCTCTCTCTCTCTCTCTCTCTGTAGCTTTCGTTTGTCGATTCCGATTCCTGCCGCTGATTGACAGCGCACGTAATTGAGTTTGATTTTTGCGAATTTCCAGAATTTAGACATCACCCATCTGAGGCACAGTTCTTCGATCCGTCCGATCATGTCCATGGCGGCGGCCCAGAGGGGCTGCTGCGGGGACTCTAAAAAAGGTTTCTGTTTAGTTAGCCCAAATATTTGATTCGATTTGATTGAGCAGCTGTCAGAGGAACTTAAAAACCTGAGCTCTTAATAATTTCAGTGGCCTTTGGATCTCTTGCAAGCTCTCCATCATTCAATCAGGATCAATATTTATCAATCAAGTGTGTGGGTGAGCAAAAAAAACGTAGAAAAAAGAATCGCTTGGAGCTGAAATGAAAACGCGCCGAAACTATGGAACAACGCACATACAAAAAAAAAAGAAACTCACACCCATACACACTGCCTCCCATATGTATACGGACGCACGCGGGGAATTGACTAAGAGGCCTGCGCGTGTTGGACGCACGGACGGATAAACAGACAGGGCGTCTGACATACGAAATCTAAAGATTTGATATTGATCCACCGTCTATGGCCCTTCTTTCATTCGTTTTTCCTGTGTGATCTTCAAGTTGCCTTGGAAACCAACCCTCTGCCGATCAAAAATCTATGGGATCTCAGCCAACGAAATTGCATATGCAAGATACTCGTACTGTAGCCGAATATGGGGCGGCTGCGATCTGCTCCATGCCCACCATCGTACTCGTATCTATGCTATTTTGGCATTTACTTTACTGCTAAACAAAAGTTTATGGCTGCGCGTGCTGTCGGCCGGCTAATGATCAAAATGCGTTAATTATTAAGATGATACAATGCGATACAGATCTGGATAGATACCATACATGGATAGATACAGCGTGGTGGCTTGTGGTCTGTGGTCAGCATCGGCATCAGATGGTTCCGCATTGAGTTCTATCCAACTCTTTGAGGAGTCGCTAATCTCATCCATTCATTCGAGTGGATTCGAGGGTATTCGAGTGTTCGGTAAACTGAAAATGATTCTCTCTTGTCTGTGATGTACTTTCCCCACAATTTTATGGTTGTTTTGTAACATT